CATCTTAACCCACCAGCTCTGGCACCTGCACGCAATGTGGTCTACTGGAGTGAAATTCATCTTCTGTGGAGTTTTCAAGATACTGGTGTAGCATTTGCAGGCCGAGGAAAATAAGGGCTATGGCTAGCAAGAGGGGGCAAAATATAAATGGTGCACTGAACCAACAGACCATCCAGCGGGAATTGAACTTTTGAAGCAAGATTTTGGTCTCCTTGAATGAGCATGACCCCATCCAGGTCAGATTACTCAATATCGGATAGAAGGCGCTGGTTCCCGAGAAAGAGGTGGAAGGAAAGAAAAGAAGAGGGAGACTAGAGTGGGCCTTGGAATAAAGGACTATTACAAAGGAGAGGGACGTGACCCTGCTCAGGGACCCAAGAGAAGCACCTACGGACAAGAATGAAGGATCCCGCATCTCCCACCTCCACGTCTGAGTGCTGGATGTCCTCGAATGACACCTTAGCTCTTCCTTGACCTAGAAGGGGACTTAGAACAGGCTTCGGAGAAAGGGACAGTGTCTCAACAGAGGCAGAGCAGATTTGAGTGGTGAGCAGGGTTCTGAGGGACTGAACTCGCTAAAGCGGAAGCATGGTGGTGATCAAGCGCTGGGTGACGTGCTACAGTTGGGGGACTGACACTGGGAACTTCAGCTTCCTGGATTTCAGAGACGGGAGGCAGCTGCCCTGGCCAGCAGTCAGACCCAGGGAGCTCCCTCACGTTGGGGTTGGAACCCTGCAACAGGAGGAGCGCACTGCCCACCTCCAGTGGAGCGAGCAGACTTCACACAGGAGTCAAGTGAAGGTGCTTGCAGTTCAGGTCGCTCAAGGACTGTCCTGGAAATACTCCCTGCGCGACAAGACAACCACAGGGACCAGGCTTCACAATGCACCTGGGCGCACGGACCCCTCTAGGTCGTCCCTACTCGGGCACCGCCCGCCAGCGCCCTCAAACCGCTGCCCTCCCCCTTCGGGCGGCAAAAAGAAGCGGAGGCGGCAGAGCTGGGCAACGGCGGAGATCCACGCTTTATTCCTATCTCCTGTCTGGGAAAGCTGATGTCACACAGGGGCGCGCTCTGGCCACCGAGGAGAGCCCGGAAAGGGCTCACGTCTTCTTGCCACCCACCCCCTCGCCTTGAGGGCCAAAATCAAACTAAGACTTCCGGCAGAGTTGTGTCTGTTTCGCGAACCAAATCCCGTTGTTAGCCTTTTCCGCCTTCCAAGGCAGCAGCGGGCGCCGGCCAGCTCGCCCGGTGGCCATCTCCAAACACAGCGCGCGCGGAGCACGGCCCGGCCGCGCCACGACCGCCTAGACCTTCAAGTTTGGAAAAACAACATGACGCGATTGCAAGGGCTCCCTCCCTTCTCCACAGACACACACGCACCGTCCGGCCGCCGCCACTTCCTGCCTTTGTTTTTCATCCTCCAAAACATTTTTGGCCTCTTGCATTAGCCGCTGTGGGGCTCCGCGCTGATGATAAAAGGAAGTCCGCGCCAAAGACTGTTTTCTGGAGGTGGCCCCGCTCTGTGGGCGCCCCTGAGAAAGGAGCGGCTCTTGGGAAACCAGTCAACCAGTCGCCGCCGAGGCCAATGTCACAGCACGTTCAGCCGCAGCCTCTTCAGAAGAGATGAATTGGACTTGGCCTTTCGGGACAGCTTTAGCCCCATTCGGTTCATCCTCCAAGCGCTCAGCCGGGTTCCTGAGCCTCCTGCAAAGCGGAAAAGTCAATTAGGCAAAAGAGCAAAGTCAAATTCAAGTACCCGCAGCTCTGCCTCCCTTTCTTCTCCAAGATTTGGTCTGGTTCTCAGAGCTGCGCCCCATCCTTGTCTCCAGGGAACATGGTGGGGGGGTGGAGGATGCATATCTCCTTCCAGGCACAACTCAGTAAATCCTGGGTCAAAGAGGCAGAAGCGGGCAAAACGGGAAACATGTACGGCTTTGGAGATCTGCGCTAAAAGCATTCAGCCGCTCCAGGCATCTTCTTTTCTCCTGGCATCCAAAGCCTTTCCCTCATTCACCTTCACGGCAGCGCCCCCACTAGCCCCCCTACGATGCTGAAAAACCCCTGGGAGCAGCGCCTCCACACAGCATCCTGAAAGACCCCCACCAGCCACTCCTGCAGCAATTCCCTTCACCTCAGCCTTCCCTCGGAACCAGCCTTTGTCTCCTGCAGGCACCCGTGGGATGCAGACCTGTCGGAAAGCTCTCCGCAGGACCCCCCAAAGAGGACCCGCGAGGTGTGAGTTAGGCTGTGCACATCCCCATACATACCTTTCTGCAGGGACTCCCCTCCCCCTTCCTGGCACCAGGGGGAAACAATCTAATTAGAAGAGGGGCTGCACACAGCCTGGGGAGGCCGCCTGGCGTCCCCCCCGCTGGCGGCAGGGCCACCGAGGCCGTCTGCTCAGGCACAAGCTGAAGTTGACTGCCAAAACTGCTATAAAACTAACTGCAGGTCTGTCTAGCACTGTTTTCGGTTCTCCTAGACGCCCCTGGTTCAATTATGGTCTTAAAAGCCCCTAATACAAGTGCAAGAATTTGTTTGTCTTCACCCAGGGGCGGGGCTCGCCCCCCCCCCCATGGTGGCGCCTTTGTTACGGAGCAGCCACTGAAATCTCTCACGCATTCCTTTTGTTCGAGGGTCCGGTGGTGGGGACTGGGTGGGCTGTTGGGAGACACTTTGGGATTGACCAGAGTCAAGCCAGGGAACAGCCTGAATCCTGCTGTTTGCAAACCTCTCCCGTCTCTAAGAAGGAGATTCTATAGAGAAACAAGTATTTTGGTTGGTAGATGCTGAAAATCCTTCCCCCCCCACCCCACCGCCCCAACTCTAGGGCAATCTTGTGACTCTGATTCTCAGCCTTTTTTGGAGGGGGGGCTGTTTCTCAGCTCCCCTTTCTTCTACAATCTTCCTTTCCACTGGCCCTTCTCCTTCCAACCCCTGCTGCCATCTGCACCAGCCACAATGGGCAAATATGTCAAAGCTGAAGGTACATGAATAATCTCAAGTTCATCTCCCAAGGATTCAAGGGCCATGAAAGTTCTTGCAGCAAATCCCAAATAAAGAGTTCATTAAACCAATGTGTCTGAGCGGCTTGATTTGCGATAAGCAATCCTTGTAAAGGGGGGGGGGAGCCACATAAACATTAATGTTAATAAATTAGTTTATTCTGCTGTAATTACCTCCTATTATTGCTATTTACAGTGGGTATTCAAATGCAATTGTTGGCCATCATTTGGGGGGAAATACGCACTGGACTCTTTCTTGTTCCACAGCAATTCACGGTCAGATTTGTTATTGAGTCAGTTACCCTCGGCTCAGCAATAAATAAATAAATCGATGTTGACACTTAAATACCAAAGATCTTAGCGTTTATACTCTAAATCTCTCCCAAGATATGTAAATACCTCCTGCTATTTCCTGCACGGAGAAAAGGGAAAGGTTATCCTTTTTCATTTTTCAACTTTCCTTCAGCAACCTCCCAGCTACTTCTGAGAAAAGATGTTGTGGGGAAGTCTCAGGGCCCAGCCCCCTCCCAGCAACCCGTTCTGTCCTTTGCTCCGTGTCCTGTGGCTTCTCCCAGCCGTGGTTCGTTCCATCCTGAAGGACCATGGGCATCTTTTCACTTATTTTTGCATGCTTTTCGTCATCCAGTAAAGCTGTACTCATCCTAGACGCTACAACGCCTGTCTGTACCTTTTGCGGGAACCTAATCTTTTTCAGGGGTCTTTGGGAACCTGTCTTCTTTGGCCTCATGCTTATCTTCCGAGGGATGAGGAGAGGAGGCTCAGTCCTCTGAGTTTCTGCCCTGCACATCCTCGGCTTCCACTCTCAAGCCTTGCAAAGCAAGGATAGGAGGCTTGTTACCCATGTCTCAGGCACTGTGGCTCCCTAGTTTTCATCCCCTGCCACCCCATCCTCTGGAGCTCCTCTAGCAACCTGTGAGCCCCCCAGAAGGTGCAGCGTACCCAGGAGAAGGCTCCTCGGATGTCAACGCCTCTAAAGTAGCTCCAGCTGCGAGGTTTCCAGAGTCTTCGGCGCGAGAAGACCGGGCAGCGGACGGGCCAGTGCGCAGCGGTGGAGCCCAGCGCCTTGGGCCCTGCCTAGAGGCTCCAAATCCCGGGGGGGGGGGGGGGAACGACAGCAAAAAGGAGGCGGCTGCTCCAAGGGGAGGAGGAAATTAGGAACATGGCAGCGAGGATGAAGGGAGAAGGGGATCCCGGGTGAGACGAATGCCCTTCCGGGCCCTGCGGATCCCCTGCAAACCGTGGGGGAAGCTGCCTGGGTTGTTGGCGGTTTGGGGACGGAAGGTACTAAAGCGCTTCGGAAGTGACCATGAATGCGGGCGTGTAATCAAGTCACCGTGCAAATCGGGCAAGCCACGAGGCCAGCACATCCACGGCTGTGAACCCTGGCCCCGAAGGAGGTCCAGCGGGGTCCGAGGCAGAGGGGCTGCGCTGAGCAAGCCCGCGGAAGCGGATGGGAGGGGGCGAGAACGCGAGCCTCCGGGAGAACACCGGAGATTCCCAGAGGCTTCGGCTCTGGGGACTGCGGGCTCCCACTCGACCACCCCCAGCCCAGGGCATCCCTCACCGGGGGAGGGGGGCGGGGGTTGAGCTCTCTCACCGCCCTCGGAGCCACTTGAGGGCCGGGACCAGGCAGCTGAGCCCCGGAGAGCGGGATAGGGGCGCACCCCAGCCTCGTCGCGCGCCAGGAGGCACCCCCCCCCCAGCCAACATGAGTTACACCGGCGATTACGTGCTTTCGGTGAGAACACCGAGTGACGATCTGTTGCTTCCCCTGAGGTGGCTACAAAGAAAGGAAGCCAAGGAGGGAGGGGGTGGAAAGGAAAGGGAGGGAAAAAAAAAGGCCTCGACTAGCTCGCAGCTTGTCAATTTCAACATCGGGTCACATGACCAGCACCTCCCTGCTAAGGATGGGGATAGATTTCCACGTCAGCTTACGTCTCCAAATTTCTACTTCACGGATCCGCTTCAAAGAGGCAGCTGCAGTGGAGAATCATGTTAAGCTCGGCTACTGCGGAGAGCCCAAGGTAGCCCAATGATGGATTTTGATGAGCGTGGTCCCTGCTCCTCTAACATGTATTTGCCAAGTTGTACTTACTACGTCTCGGGTCCAGATTTCTCCAGCCTCCCTTCTTTTCTGCCCCAGACCCCGTCTTCGCGCCCAATGACATACTCCTACTCCTCCAACCTGCCCCAGGTCCAACCAGTGCGCGAAGTGACCTTCAGAGAGTACGCCATTGAGCCCGCCACTAAATGGCACGCCCGCGGCAATCTGGCCCACTGCTACTCCGCGGAGGAGCTCGTGCACAGAGACTGCCTGCAGGCGCCCAGCGCGGCCGGCGTGCCTGGCGACGTGCTGGCCAAGAGCTCGGCCAACGTCTACCACCACCCCACCCCCGCCGTCTCGTCCAATTTCTATAGCACCGTGGGCAGGAACGGCGTCCTGCCGCAGGCTTTCGACCAGTTTTTCGAGACGGCCTACGGCACCCCGGAAAACCTCGCCTCCTCCGACTATCCCGGGGACAAGAGCGCTGAGAAGGGCCCCCCGGCAGCTGCGGCGACGTCCGCGGCTGCGGCGGCCAGCGGCGCGCCAGCAACTTCAAGTTCGGACGGCGGCAGCGGCGGCGGCTGCCGGGAGGCGGCGGCGGCGGAGGAGAAGGAGCGGCGGCGGCGCCCCGAGAGCAGCAGCAGCCCCGAGTCGTCTTCCGGGCACACTGAGGACAAGGCCGGCGGCTCCAGTACGTATAAAGGCAGCGCCCTTGCGCTTTATGAAAGGGGAGTTGGAAATCTAGCGCAGCACCGCTGTTAAATTTTTATATGCTGTTTTATAAGCATATAAGGTTTATGAAGGGCCTTTAGGTTTCCCCCAACAAAACTTTGTTATAAAAGGCGGGATCACGTGGCGAGTGCTGAAATTGGCCGTGAAATACCCACCGGCCAAGGCATGCCTGAAAAAAAAAAAAAAAAAAACCAAAAAAAACCCACCCCAGCTCCTTTTTTTCTCTTCTCCCGGCGGCGGCGCGGAGCCGGCAGCCGGATCCGCCGGGCGCGCCCGAGGTGGGAGCCTGGATATTCCCCCGGCGCGGGCTCCGCGCGCCTTGGAGAGCGCGGTCAGCCCAGGTTTTTATAAAAGCCATGTGTTGCGCCGGGACCCCAGCGCCGGCCGCGATTCAAAGGCATCGCTGTTTAACGATGGCGCTCCGAGAGCGTGTTGAACAGATAAAGTAGCCCGCTTAGCTCGAGCAATATATTAAAAGAAACAAATTAACCCAAAGTTGGCCTTTATGTCCAAAGGAAGCTATTTTCCGCCGGCTCGGTGGCAATTACGTGCCGCCTTCCTTTCTAACTACATGTTGCAATTGTTAGTCAATCTGTCAGAAGCGGATTTAAAAAAAAAAAAATTAAAAATGTCCTGTGTGCTTCCTCCCACCTCTAAAGCTACCTGCAGCTTCAGCAGGCCTCCCCCCTTTTCCCCACCACATCTAAAATAGGGCCCCTGACCTGCTTGAGCCTACAGCTGTGGGGAAGGCTGTGACCAGGGAAGGCCGGGGTAGGGGTCCTTGGCCGCCACCTCCACAAGGCCAGGAGTGCTGAGGCCGGCCAGGGCAGGCAGGAGCAGGGGACGGGGGCTCAGGCTGACAAAAGAGCCTGCAGCCGCCCCAGATGTTAACAGGGCTGAGCAGTCATGTCCCCAGCGCAGAAAGACAGGGGCTGGAACAGCCTTTACTGCCCAGGAATGGGCAGCCCAGGTGCTGGAAGGTGAAATTTCGGCGTGAGGCTGTTTGTTTAGTCTGGTGGGGAGGCAGGCAGCCGGCAACCCCCACTGGGCTGCTTTGAAAGCGGCTCCGATGGAGCAAACTCGCCTGTTGCTGCTAGAACCTTGGTTCCTGCTTGGGGGGCAGCAGAGGCAGCTTCCCCGGGGGCCTATCCAGGAAGCTGGCTTTCATCTGCGGCTGGGCCTCCTTCTGCAGAAGGAGACTAAGTGCAGGGACCTGGGGAGACCTGAAGAGCCCGGGCGGGCGGGGGGCGGTGTGCAGCCCTGGGCCCTGCGCCTTCCTCTTAGTCAGGGCTCCTCTGGGAACGCACTTCCCAAATCTGAATCGCCTTCCTCATCTTTCTCCCTCCACAGGTGGCCAACGCACCCGAAAAAAGCGCTGCCCCTACACCAAGTACCAGATCCGTGAGCTGGAGCGGGAATTCTTCTTCAGCGTCTACATCAACAAAGAGAAGCGCCTGCAGCTATCCCGCATGCTCAACCTCACCGATCGTCAGGTCAAAATCTGGTTTCAGAACAGAAGGATGAAGGAGAAAAAGATTAACAGAGACCGTTTACAGTACTACTCCGCCAACCCTCTCCTCTAAAGTCCTCGGCCACCTGGGACGGGGTGGGGGGCTTCCTACACTGAGATTATATGCAGATTTCGCCCTTGACAAGGTCAAACCACACAGCGACTTTTTTAAGAGAGGAGATGTGCAAAGGAGAGGTCAGACCTAGGCTGAGGTAGGCCCACAGAAGGCAGGCTGGGGCTTGCTTGGGCATTCATTCCTGATTAAGATTCCTAATAATAATTGGATTGGAAAGATTGTGAACCAACTAGAATGAATGGTTTGGGACCCCTGATGGCTCACTGTTAGAGCCTTGGAGTTTGGAGCTGGGTGTGGCCTCCACCTGGGACTGGGCCCCCTGCCAAGCCCCCCAGAGGCTGACCCCCACCCAGGACTCTCCACCTGGAGACCAACCACCACCCCCTGGACCCCTGTTTCAGGAAGCTTTGCACTTCTCTCTGAGCCCAGTTGAGCTCCAGGGGGAATGGGGGAAATTCCTCGATGCTTCCTTGACGGGGCTGAGGAATGGCAATCAAGACTGTTTTCCAAAACCAATGTGAATGGCAACTGGACTAAGAGGTGGATATGAGGTGGGAAAGGGTTCCAGAGCCTCTAAGGTGGGAGTGGGGGAAGGTTTGCTATTCCAGGTGATGACGGCGCTCTCCAAGCCATCCACTATTGAAAGTAAGCCGGAGCTGCTGGTAGCCACCTTTTCTAGCCCACTTGGCTGTTCTTCCTAACAGCCCAGGGTCTTGTCCTGGCCTGCCACTCTGTCCTCGAGCCCTATGGGTCCAACGGCTGACCATTCCCCACAAAGAAGACATTGGGAAGCCAGGAGGCTGTGCCACGGGCGGCTGTCGGTGCTCACTTTCTGCAGGAAACGCCTGCAGCTTGGCAAAGCCTCTGCCACATTTAACTGAAACTTGGGATTTACTCAATGTCCAGCAGTGGGGTAACAGGGCTACAAGGACCTGGCCAGCAGTCCCCGCTACGGGAGGCCCCCCATGCCTTCCCTAAACGTCCTGTTCCGGTGCCGCACTCTGTCCTCCATGAGCCAGAACTGCGCTTGGAAGGTTCCAGCGACCTCCCAAGGCCCGAACGTGGTTTGCATAATATTTTAAAAGATAAATATTATATTATATATCTATTTCCCTGCAGGAACCAAAGCGAATTTTAAAAGATGCAATGTAGAGGAAAAAGAAGATGATGAAGAAAATATTTAAAGGCTCTATCTGTTTACAGTGTCCCACGGTTGAACTCACTCACTGCTAAGAATATTTGAATGTACGCTTCATACAGGGATGGTGTTGAAAGACTTGTAAATAAAGGAACCATAACCTATTTTGCTTGAATATTTTTTTAACCATTAGTTGCTTTCTTTTGGGGTACTGTAGGGAAGCAGGACAAGGCTGGGAAATGGTCTTTTTAACCTCTCCTTACATTTGGAAAGCTTTAGGGAGATGCTCAAGAGAGAATTGGACTGCTAGGGCCTTGGGACCTGTCTGGAAAAGCCACACTCTCCAGCTCAATTCTCTTGATATCCTTGTGTTAGAAGTGTCTTATGGCTGACGCTATCTGTAGTAGGAGTGTCGGTCTGTCTCCTGCTCTCTCCCACCCTGTATGTCATAGTATGCACACAGGCGACAGGGCACAAGGAAAATAAAGGCAGTGGAAACTTGGGTGGGTGTCGGGTTCTGGTGTGACATTCCTATCCCTACTCACCTTCTACTGCCAAATGTCTGTCCTTCTGTCCCCCCTTAGCACCCCTCACCAGTTACTAGGCCTCTGAGATTTAACTCCCCTGGAAGCCAGGCTCAGGAGGCCAAAGTAGTTGGCCATGTCCTTGTGGGGAGTAAGGGCTCCCTGGGACAAGGTAACTCTGGGGGAGTGGAGGGCTCTCATAACCCCCAGACTGACCATAGTCCTGGGAGAAAGTCGTGGAATTTAAGGCTGAGGATAGCTCTTACCCCAGGCTGGGCTGGCTCACCCCACCTCAGGACTGGCAGGCCTGAAGTAAGAGGACCCTCTCTGGGGTGTCCTTGGGTCCCCTCCAACTGAAGGGGCACTGGTCTGGTCACCAAGGCTGAGCAGGCTTTCAGGAGCACCTACTCCCCAGTTCCCAGCTGAGGCTGCCCTCTCCCTTTGGGGAAAGAAAGATGCCGCTCTCCTCTTTGTTTGCTGCCTTTGAACTTCTGCCTTAAATTTGGACATCACCCATAACCTTGAGGGGCAGGGCGGAAAGGCCAGAGCCTTTTGTTGCCCACCCAACCCCATCCTCTCGCCAGCCACCCAGGCGGCGACCAGAGAGGGCCACATTTGGAGGGAGGCCCCAGACCCCAGGCTCCACTCTGTTTATTTGTTTGTGTGTTTGTCTAACTGGCAAGACTAGGAAAATCGAGTTGAAAGGGGAGTGGGACAGACCCTGCCATGAATGTCTAGGTTGACAGACAGGCACACAGAGACCAAACAAGAGCCCTCCGTGGGGGGAGGGAGGGAGTGGGCAGGGAAGACCCGGATTTAGGGAAAGACTTCCTTTGGGATGGTTAAAGATTAACCAAAGTCTCGTAAGTTGCTAGAGAGAGTCTAGCCAGGAGGACTGCTCTCGGGCGGGCGGGCGGTGAGAGGGCGCCAGTTTGATTTCCGAGCCCAATAAAAACCCATCCTCCGATGGCTGTGACAATGTGGTCGTAAACCCGTCCGGGGCCGGCCAATTTGCATATTTGGAATGCGCCGTTATAAACCCGGCCGGGGTTTTGCAGCGATTTCTTAGATGTAAAAATGCTCTGTGGATCGGGCGAGCCGGCACGGTGGCGCGCTTTGGCCGGCGGTGCGCGCAGCACTCTGCTCCCGGCTGCGGCGCCGAGCTCCCCGCGCCTAGGCGCGCAGCCGCCACGAGATGGCGCGCTTCCGATCAATGTCAAAGCCGCCGGGGAGCCAGGAACCCCAACGCGATTCTTGGCCTTTGTTCGTTTCTGATACTAAGAGCAGCACGTTACATTATTTCAGTTGTCCTGCTCCACTTCGTATTGTAATTAAAAAAAGAGAGGGGTTCACCCTCCAGAAGTGGCGGGTGTGGTCCTTTAAAGCACCGTGACTTCTCTAGGCCTAGCGGGAGTCCATCCTGGTGCAGAGCAGCCAGCTGTCGTTGGCAGAGATTTCTGAAATGTGTCAAGGTAAGAGGCTACAAGTTTAGTCATTTCGGTCTGATTGGGGCGGGTGTGTGTGTGTGGAGATGGCCGATGGCCCAGTAGGACCTGGAGACAAGGCTGAGTTTGGAGGTGACGCAGTAGGCGGTAGGGCCCCCCTTCTCTCATAGCTTCTAAGGGTGGAAATGAGGAGGGAAGGAGGAGGCCTAAGTGGAAAAGTTGACCATTTTAGATCCCTGACCCCCTCTGTCATCCTAAGGTGATCTTTTGACTTTGTAGAAATCATTAAAAATGGAATGGGCCTAGGTTGGGGGGAGGTCCAGGTAAAGGAATCCTGGTTGTGTTGGGGAAAGGAATTTGTAGGCGAAAGGGGGGGGGGGAAGAGAGAAGGAGCTGGTGGGACTGGGAAAAATAGAAAGTTCTGCTCGAAACAATGACCCGAAAGGCCAACAGTGCCCAGGCCAGAGATGGAAGAGGCGACAGGACTGGGACGAGGTGAGGTGCCATTCCTAGATCTGTTGGATTCCATGAGGGGAAGTTTTCTTCTGAGAAGGCTAATTCCAAGAAGGCATATTTATATTTTGATAGAGAAGCCACTGTTGGCATAGAACCCATGAATTTTCAAAGCGTTCGCCGCGCGTAATCTCCTATTGAGCAATCTCTCTCAGTCTTCTCACAAACCAAATTCTTAATAGTCATAATTCGCCTCTGTTTGGGGACCTGGGTTTTCTTTCTTCCACGTTCAATTTGTATCCTAATTTTCTATTCCTTCACCGAAATAGTCCCCCCCCCAAATACTCGATGTGCAGTGCTGTCTCTGTGTGTGTGTGTGTGTGTGCATAAAAATGTTGCCTATCAGAAGCCACTAGTCTTTGTTTACCCATGTACTGTACCAAGATACAAGATGGGGCAGCGTCAGGAAAAGTGGGGGCCCGCCTGGTCCACTGCTCTGCAGCCTGGGCCTTCCTAAAATCCAGACAACTGTCTCCAGTTTCAAGGCCAGCAGCGCTGGTTTAATGTAAACTGGACCAAGGATATTGCAATTCAGAGAGCACATTAAAAGGTACCCTATCACCTCCATCGAGGAAAGGGCAGGTTCAGTGGTTTGATTTAGGAGGAAAAAAATTAACTGGCTTGTTTAGGACTAGATCGCAAATAAGAGCAAGCAGACAAATCAAATTTCCCTAGAAACATGGGTGTTCTGAGAACCGAACAGGAAAAGAACATCATTGCTTAGGGAAAAACTGTGTAACCATCTGCAAATGCTGCTGGGTGAAACATAGAAGCCCTGGATTTTTTTTGTTGTTGTTGTTGTTAAAGCCGGATATGTTGAAAGTGTTTAGTTTTCCCTCTACCCGGAGCCTTGAAAGCGTTGAGAACGGTCTCCAGATACAAGCTGTTTACTGGTTATCTCAACCTCCAGAGCCTAGGATTTAAAAAAAAAATCTTCTTTCCTTTAATAACAGTTTATTCTTTCTCATCCTTTGCAAGGGCCCGCTCAGAAAAAGGAATTTGCTAGCGGCATACTGCCGCTTAATCTTTACCAAGGGCTTTTTCCAAGGGCCTGGCCTTAATTTCGCTCTGAAGCTCTAGTTGGTGGGGGATGAAGGAATGTTAGTTTTCACCCAGGTAGAAATGGGGCAATGTCTATGCCAAATAAAACGTAGAAACTAAGGGCAGCTGGTGTGACCACTGCACAGGCCTGTTTAAAGCCAGCAGGCACTGAGGGATTTAGGCCTAAGACATTTGAGGGATAGAAATCCAGTGGTTGGAGAGCAAAAGGGGGGAGCATGGCCAGAAGCAGGCTGCTACTAAATGGCTTTTCTTAATGGGGTGGGGTGGGTGGGCTCAGAAAAATGGAGGCAATAGATAACTGAGAATATTTTATTGAGGAAGCTCACACCTCAGCATTGCAGTCTGGGGAAGCTGGAGTCTTGGGGCCTCAAACATTGCAGGGACCAAAGCACCATTTAACTTTAGCTTCGGCTGCTTCAATATCCTCAGGCCTGAACCAGCCACTCCAGGCTATCCGCAGTCCACACCGCAAGGCACATCCACACCACACACAGATGGCCTCTCACTGCCCTCTGCACTCTTCAAATCAGGGTGGTGGGTGGTTCTGTAAACCTTGGCTCCCAGGCACACACCCCAACACACACACACACATACACACACCCTCACCAATTAATGAAAAAGGGGCTCAAACTTTTTCTTTTCTTTTGGTTATTGGGTGGGGAAGAGTCAAGTTGGAGAAAACCATCTGACCACTCTTCCCAGTTGACCCAAGTGTCAATGCCACACAGACTGCGTGGCCCACAGCAAGCATTCAAGGCCTTCCAACCCTGAGCTTGCAGCCTTCTAGAATTGCATACAATGCCAAGATGGTAGTGGTACCTTCCTTGGAACGTGGTCCTCCTGCTTGGAATCCCACCCAGCCTAAAAGCCAATTTCCCTGAAGTGGATCCCAGGCCTGTGCTGCCTTTACCGGGCACCAGGCTTGCCTTTCCAGCCAGGCTGGCAATGGCCGCTTCTCAGGGAAGACCTGGAAGCAGTGTAGACTGGAGACTAAACTGAGAATCCAGAGGTAGATGGACCCCAAAAGGAAGGCTTCGAAAGGTCTGAAAATTCCTTGAAAATGAGAGATAAAATTGTGTGAATGTGCGTTTGTGTGTTTTTCATAGGACAGAAGTAAAAGGGTGCCTCGATTGTCTCACAGGGCATTTACTTCCAAAAAAAGACATTGAAAAGCAGGCTTGGATTACTGTCCATTTTAATTTTGTAGCCCCACCACCTCAAGCTTCTCTTCCAGTGGTCTGTTGGAAAACCTTGAGGCCTAGAAAGGTGGTTTTCGCATTTAGCTGAGAAGAACATTTAGCTCTAGGCCCTAAGTCCTGGACCCTAGTGCCGGCCCACTGCTCAGTTTTGGGCTGATTTTCCTCAGAGAACCCTGGCCACTCTGGGAACACATTTCCCAGTCTCCAGACCCTATCCGAAAGGAATGAGCAGTGCTGAGGGGCAAAGCCTTCATCCCACTCTGCGACTTCGTGGCATTTCTCGGGAAAACTGCCGAGCGCAGCAGTCCCGGCCAGCCGCACTGGCTTAGAAAATCGGGCAAAGGCTAGGACGGTGCTCCGACGCCCTTTCCGGGACAGGTTAGTGGGTCTCGGCACCTGAGATTTCCCTTGGCCTTGTGTGCGGGAGCCAAGCAAACAGAAAAGGCGAGTTCATGATCCCCGCGCGCAACCCCTCCCCACTTGACCCTCGGCAGCAAGGCTTCAGCACCGCGTCCGCTTAGGGAGAAGGGGCCCTCTGTGTTCTCCCCACTTCTCTCTTCCACCTTCTTGTTTGTTTCTGATACTCTCTCCCTTCTCTTTCTCTTTGCCCCAGGCTCGGGTGGGCAGACCCCATCTTCGTTCGGGTCTAGGGCTTAGAGTTGGAGGTGGCTAGCGGAGCGCAGCTCAGAGGTGGCGCGGCCTCCGGGCTACAAGCGGGGGCAGGCCTCTCGGCAGCGCCCGCGGTTCCTTGGAACTCCAGAGCCACAGCTCGAGCTCCGCCGCCAGCCTTCTTGTGCGCTTTAGGGGTCCACTCCTTCCGCCTGGGTCTAGAACGAGTGTGGGGCGCATCTTCCGGGCTGACCCGGCCTGCTCCTGCCGCGCGGAGACTTGAGCTGCCTGCCTCTGGAATACGGCGATCGGCAATTCCAGCCACGGTCTCTGTGGGCATTAGCCGGCCGGCGGACAGGCCCCAGGGCGTGAGCGAGGAGGGAAGAGAGTCTCGGGCGGGAGCCAAGACAGCGACCTCCGGGGCTCCTCTGGATCCGGCCTGGAAAAGTCTCATTTCCTGAGACTCAGCTGAGGCCCACACTTCGGGGTTAGCCCCCCACCCAGTGAACCTTTCCGGTTGACTAAGAGGGCGCCCACACCCGCTCCCAGCAAGGTTGGAAGGAAAGGAGGGCCGGGGGTGCGTGGAGCAAAGGGTTTGGGCGCTGAGCTCTCGGGTATCTGGGCCAGGAGCCCAGCCTGGCCTCACAGGGAACGGATTTCCTCACCGCGGGCCTCGTTAAAATGCGCGCACGCACCGCGGGAGCCAGGGCCTCCCCAGCCGCGGGTTTGGAGGGGAGGAGGGAGAAGGGGAGGGGACGTGAGGCAGTAGTGTGGTGACACTGGTTCTTGTCTTAGCCGCCGGGAGGGTGCAAATGCCAAGGCTAAAGGCTGAAGGCTGGAGAAAAGTGTGTGACAGAGGTGGCCGGCCAGTGCTCCCTCACAAGTGCCTCTCACTGAATCCCCCTTCGGACAGGTTAAAGACCCTGAAGACCAGCGCTTTGCTTCCCTGAAGTGGCCTGTAAGCTAGGTGGCTTCCCGAGAGATGGGTCAGCGGGGTGCCTGACCCTGGCTCTGGCCTCCAGGAAGCAGGTAGTTTTTCCCACCAGCCTCCTCCAGGCGCTTCCCACCGCGGATTGGAGTTGCAGGGAAGGCTGACCAGGTGAGCAGGCACAGACAAAGGCCCTGACTGGGTTACCTGATGAGGGAAGGAGAGGACAGGACTCAGGGTCCAGGGCCCTTTCATCTACTAAGGAGAAACTCCCTTTACGATGTAGAGTGGGGAGACCAGACAACTCCTGTTCCTGTTTGCAGGCCTGACACTTTCGGGGTCCTGATGGCCTTGGAACCAGGTCGGCCTCATTGTGATTCAGAATCCAGACTTGGGGCCACCTCCAGGTCCGTGAGCGAGAATCCCCAGCAGGGTCCCCTTAGCGGTTAAACACGTGGGGGGCGAGTAGGCTCATCTGCTACAGAGACAGGCCCTCAAGGTACGCCGGGTGCGCACTATAAACACGCCACTTGTTAACTGCGCGGGGGGCCCAAGAACGCTTCCAACAGACCCCTGGCTGGGGGCTCACGCCCGGGTAGGGGTGGGGCGGAGCGAGGGGCTAGCCCCCTACCGTTCACCTTGGGGCAGCCCTCACTGCTGCAGGCCTTGGGCCCAAGGTGTCGGCGTGCGTCTCCGGGCCCATCAATACAGATTACATATTTATATCAATCGCGGGCTCGGAGGGCGCCCTCCGAGAGCGGCCCCGCGCCTACGAAACCAAACTGGGAGTGGTCGCGCGGCGACTCTGGCTCGGGATTGGCTGCGGGCGCCCGCCGCGGTGCGGGGGGATTGCTAATCGTATTCAGCATGTTTTGCTCAAGAAATGTCAGCCAGAAAGGGCTATCTGCTCCCTTCGCCAAATTATCCCACAACAATGTCATGCTCGGAGAGCCCCGCCGCGAACTCTTTTTTGGTCGACTCGCTCATCAGCTCCGGCAGAGGCGAGGCGGGCGGCGGCGGCGGCGGCGCAGGCGGCGTAGGGGGCGGCGGCTACTATGGCCACGGTGGGGTCTACCTGCCTCCGGCCGCCGACCTGCCCTACGGGCTGCAGAGCTGCGGACTCTTCCCGGCCCTGGGCAGCAAGCGCAATGAGTCAGGGTCGCCAGGTGGCGGCGGAGGAGGCGGCGGCGGGGGCCTGGGTCCCGGGGCGCACGGTTACACGCCCGCGCCCTTAGACCTGTGGCTGGACGCGCCGCGCTCGTGCCGGATGGAGCTGCCTGAGGGCGCGCCGCCGCCCCAGCAGCAGCCGCAGCCGCCAGCGCAACCACCGGCTCAGGCCAGCGCGTGCTCCTTTGCGCAGAACATCAAAGAGGAGAGCTCCTACTGCCTCTACGACTCGGCTGACAAATGCCCCAAAGGCTCGGCCGCCGCCGCCGCCGAGCTGGCTTCCTTCCCGCGGGGCCCGCCGTCGGATGGCTGCGCCCTGGGTGCCTCCAGCGGTGTGCCAGTGCCCGGCTACTTCCGCCTCTCACAAGCCTATGGCGCGGCCAAGGGCTACGGCGGCGGCGGGGGCGGCGGCTCACAGCAGCTCGGCGCCGGCCCATTCCCAGCGCAGCCCCCGGGTCGCGCCTTCGACCCATCTTCTGCGTTGGCCTCGGGCTCGGCCGACGCAGCGCGGAAGGAACGAGCCCTCGAGTCCCCGCCGCCCCCGACGCTGGCCTGTGGTGGCAGTGGTGGCGGGGGCTCACAGGGGGACGAGGAGACCCACGCGTCGTCCTCCGCCGCTGAGGAGCTGTCCCCGACCCCTTCGGAGAGCAGCAAAGCCTCGCCCGAGAAGGACGCCCTGGGTAAGCGAGGGAGCGTGGGAGGCAGCGGCGCAGCGGGAGGGCGCGCGGACCCGGACGAGGGCTGCGAGCCGGGCGCCCGGCCTTGGCCTGAGCTGCAGGCGGGCTGACCTTGTGAACTTGCTTTTTAATATTTGGGCGTGTGGATGCAGTAAAAATTCACGTCGGGCTTAGCGCCCCACGCGGAGGAGTCCTCCACGCTGGCCTGGGCTCCCCCAGGCTGGGGGCCGAGAGGACACACGTGGGCAACCCCCTTCCCTGTGACCCAGAGCCCCCTGAGCGGTGGTCCTGTCCCAGCCTGCGGGGCGCGACCCGCGCAGGGGGCGGGGGAGGGAGGGAGAGCCGCTCGTCCTCAGATAGCGCGGATGTTTGTAAGGCATCCAAAATAAGCAGCCGCCAGCGCCAATAAATAAGTCCATTAACTGGCGAAGTTCGAGTTTACGATCCCCCAAGCTTTTTTCAAAGTTGCTGGAGGGGCGGGAATCCTTTTGCGGGGAGAAGAAAGGGCAGATCCGGCCTGGACGCCTGGGCTTTAGCTGAGAGCCAGAGAGGGGCCATTTCCCTTCCTCTGGAGCTCTGGGTCAACCCGGTTGCGCCCCAAACTCCTGCAGAGCAGGGAAGGCGGGTCCTAGATCCCAAATCTGGTTCTGGTGCCTTCCCTCTTGGTACAACCACGCCACCCCTCCTAACTGGACGGGGCAGCCAGCGAGCTCGGCTGAGACGCAGCCCTGCTTCCCGCTCCCTGCCCAAGGCAGCCCGTGCGCCCTGGCCCGGAGGCCGGAAATTCCTGTCCGCCTGGCCTGGGTTGAGGAGCAAAGGCAGACGTTAAGTTCAAGATACACAATCTGCCCTCGCGGGTGTTCATTCTGCAAGCACTTCTAGCTTTGCGCTAAAACAGGTGTTTGGGAGAAACTGCAGGGAAATGGGCACCCGGAGGTGAGAGCATACTGGAGGCCCACGCGATTTGGCACATGCCTTTTGGGAGAACTGCTGCCAGGCGTTACCCCCTTTCTGTGACGTTCCCCAACCCCCACTTAGGGCAGATACATCCAGGACGGACTCCCTGGAGCAGCCACTACTTCACCTTCTCCTCTTTCTATTCTCTTGAACTGCAGGCAATTCCAAAGGTGAAAATGCAGCCAACTGGCTGACAGCGAAGAGCGGCCGGAAGAAGCGCTGCCCCTACACCAAGCACCAGACGCTGGAACTGGAGAAGGAGTTTCTGTTCAACATGTACCTTACTCGAGAGCGGCGCCTAGAGATCAGCCGCAGCGTCCACCTCACGGACAGACAAGTGAAGATCTGGTTTCAGAACCGCAGGATGAAACTGAAGAAAATGAACCGAGAAAACCGGATCCGGGAGCTCACAGCCAACTTTAATTTTTCCTGATGAAGCTACAGACGACGCTGGGTTTTGTTTGGTTGTGTTGGGTTTGTTTTATTTTTTTTTCCCACTTCCAGGGTCCCCTCCCTGTGTCTTGGGCCTCTGTGCTGGTTACTGGCACCTGCACCGGAGCCCACTTCTCCCTCCCACCCTCATCATGCCTCCTGCCACCACATCTGGGCAGCGCCGCTTCGTTCTGACTCTTCGTTCCTTTGTCTCCTCGGTGCTGGTGTATTTGTCGTTTTCTGGGGGAAAAGCCATATCGTGCTAAAAAAAGAAATAATCCTATACAGATAGATATTGTCCTAAATGTCAAGTGCTGACTGGGCCGAGTTTGTGGCCTTGGGGTTCCACTGCTCGAAATGGCCCGGGTCCTGCGGCCAAGCTGGTTTCCTGGCCAGCCCGGACCAGGGCCAACCTCGCCGGAAGGGAAGGCCGAGGTCGCATTGTGGACGCTGAGGTGTCTGGCTTGAGGTCAATGGTGCCAGGGGTCCCCACCGGTAGGGAGCTGAGTGCTGGTTTGTGATTAATCAGGAGATTTAGGCCCCTGGCTTTTTTTCCCCACCACCCCTCTCTTTCTTCTTCTTTTCTTCTTTGGCAATGACAAGGGCTTACAGGCATGGACATGCAGGTTGGCAAAAGGTTTGACTGGCTGTTTGGAAAAAATTAGGAAGATTCACTTTTCCTTATTGTATAAGATATCTTAGCTTAACAAATAAACACACCAAACCAGGAGAGAAGGAAACTTTTTTTCTGGTTTTTGTAAGGTCTTTAATTGCTGAACTAAATTATTTCACTCATCTTTGACCTTCCATATCTTTCTGGCTGTAGATAAATACTCTTAGGTGGTTTCCTTTATACGTGTGGGATTAGTGGAGGGTTTTGTCATGAAACAATCCTCACCGCTGGTAACACAGGACAAGCACACCGCAATTCTATCTTGTGAAATCTTCTTTTGTTAACTTTTTTTTTTTTTTTAATTCATGGAAGCCGAGGAAGTCTGGAGCAAGTGTACTAGACCAGAGAAAGGGAGATGACTTTTTTTAAGAAAAAAAATTCCTTTATACTGTGAAGTTACATGCATAAAGGGTCAAACCTGTAGGTGCAGAAAAAGAAAAACTATAAATACAAATCTGTATAAATGTCTATTATTATGAAAAATTGCCAATCTTGTTTTAAGCAAATGCATTCTATCGTTATTATAAATGTTAGTTCTAGCTCTATTCTAATCTTAAATCAGAATAAATTAATATTGTAATGCTGCTGTGCGTGGGGGGAAAAGATGATGTTTATGTTCTTATAGAAGAATAAAAGCTGTGGAATGAAGCTTTTTAATTTTACCTCTTTTTTTACTTCTTCACCTTCCACTTTATCCCGTCCACCACTTTTACAACAGGAGGGCTAGCTCAAGCCCCCTGCAATTACTACAGGCCTCTATTTAAATATTACCTAGACGGTCGTAATTTGTCTGGGCCCTATAGCCCTGGTGCCGTAAGGTTTGTCGGCTTTTGTTCCGTTTTATGACTTGCTAGTCTATCTGGATTGTGGCTGTCTTGGACCAGGGATTTCAGTTGAGGAAAGAGCTGCAGAGGTACAGGAAGCCAAAGGCTTGCTTTCAGAAATCTGGACGAGGCTTGCAGAGGCCGGTTATTTTGCGGGGTCCCTCGGTTCTAGGTGACCCCTAGTTTAGGGATCTGCGGGTGGCGCGCCCGGGCCCATCGCGCGCGCGTCACTAGTATCCGCAAAGAGAGAAGGTGGACCCTGGGCCGAACCGAGGGGGCCGCCCCCTCCCCCACCTCGGCCTCCCCCACCTGGCTGTTCTCGGCGGGGCCACGCGTTTCCTGCCCGCCGGGGAGGGGGGGGGCGCCGACGGGGAGTGGGGGGAGGGAGCGCGGGAGCGCGCGCCCCAGCGGGCGGAGAGGGGGAGAGCGAGAGGCGGGAGCCTGCGCGGAGGCCGTGGCCACACCGGGAGCCCGGCCGGCTGTCTGGGCGCTTCGGGGTGTTTGTTGGGCCGCCGGTTCTCTGCGTCGCATGATTGGGGCATCGAGCGCGCAAAGAGCTGGAGCTCGACTCGCTCTGGCCTTGTCCTCTCCCTTCCCCGTCTCTCCCGCGCCTCTCCTCCCTCCTTTGCCCACCCAGGCTTACTTTCTCCCGGCTGGTGGCTTCTCTCTCTTTGGGCTGCACCGTGGTGGCGGTAGCGGTAGCGGCGCACGTTGGCGAGGGGGCCGGGCCGGCGCGATCTCTGGGTTCCTCTCCTTGGCGGCGACGGCGATGGCGGCGGCGGCGGCGGCGGCGGGCGAGACAGTCCAGCGCGGGCAGCACCAGAACTGGTCGGTGATTTAGGTAGTTTCCTGTTGTTGGGATCCACCTTTCTCTCGACAGCACGACACTGCCTTCATTACTTCAGTTGAAATCGTCTCCAGGTATCTGTCTGTGCGCGCGCGGGCCGCTCTGGGGGCCCAGCATCCAGGCCCCGCAGTGTCACGGCTGCTGTGGCCACCTCGGCTGGCTCTCCCCGCAGGAGCCACTGCGTCGTTCCCAGTTCCCGGCCCTGTGCCAGCCGGCCGGCCTCCCCCTCCCACCCCGACCCGGCCTGGAGCAGGTACGGTCAGGTTAGCTGCTCACCCGCGGACGCCGTGGGCGTGGTAGGAATTCTGGGCCCCGGGCCATTCAAGGTCAGGGGCACACGCTTACATCCTGGGCCTTCCCCTCACCAGGCCTCGGCTGGGCGCCTGGAACCCTGCTCATGGCCCTTCAAACCGGGGTGCTAGCTCCGCGAAAATGCCTGTGCTAGCGGGGACCCAGGCCCAAGCAAGAGACCCCCGGAGGACAGGGGCTAGGACCCAAGCCAGCCGAGCCACCTACCCCCTTCTCGCTGAGCCTCTGCTCCCAAGAATCGCCTCTTCTTTCTTACCTTCTTCCCCCTTCAACCCCCTTCCTTCCTCTTTTCTCCCATTTACTTTTCTTTGCAACTTCCTCTCTCCTTACTTTTCTTTTATCTTCGTGTTTTCTCTGCTGCATTCTTGTCCTTTTCTCTCAGCCTCCTCCTCTCCCCACATCAGCGTGTGGCGGGGGCTCTGGCTGGCTCCGGGAAGGGGAGGAGATGGGAGTCCTCATCCTTTGCTGCGTGATGGAGTTGTGCATGCGGTCCGCTGGGGAACAGCTCCCGTGGGCCAGGCCTGCAGACAAGGCCTCGGTTACGATCAACGACCGGGTGGCGGCGGCCTTGTGCTCTCCGCGGTCGCCAGCCACAGCGGCCTGGGAGACCCGGTTGGGTGGCGCCCACGTTGTATCGCCTTTGTGTGCCCAACGTGGGGCAGGGAGGCCGGCGCCAGCCTCACTGGGGACTCTGGCTGTATCAGGGACGGGCGGAGGCCCAGCCAGGCTTGATGGAGCCTCATCCTCCCGCACTTAAGAGTTGGCGCGGGAGGCCTCTCGCTGGCTTTCTAGGCCTGTGAGATAGAAGTGGGGCTTTAACGGAAATGAAGGCGCCCCGATAGGGCAGAGGCTTCTCTCAGGCTCAAAATATGTGTCAGATAAGGCACCCGAGGAAGGAGAGAAGGAGGCACTCTTCCAAACGCCAGTTTGTCTGAAATAATAGGGACAGGGGATCCCAAGGTCCTTGGCTATTGGAATACAAACTTGAATCCTCGTTCCAACTTGTAGTCTACTTGGCTGGGTTATTCCCACGTCCAGAAAGCGAAAATAACCATCGCTTCCTCTTGTGCTCTCTCCACACATGCTTTCAGGCTCCTGTCCACCGAGCTGTGCTTTCTGTTCCAGCTCAGACGAGGACGCAGGAACCTTTTCGCTGTGTAGACTCTTCCCTACACCTGAGAGACCCCACACCAGCTCCCCTCAACGCCTCTGCGCCATTTGCACTTCGGTGTTGGTTGATTTCAGAGTCCAAGGTTTTAGAGGAACACTGGACAAGAAGGGGTCGGCTGGTAATCGTGCCCTCTTATTATTTCTTCATGCACACGCCGTTCCTCTTCACTTCCAAACGGAAAGCAGACACAAAAGCCTGAGTATGTCCATCCCAAGAAGCCTGAGGAATAACACAATCTTCGGGTGTGTGTTTTTGCCCACCTCCTCCCCCTTCTGGGCTCTGGGCGAGAGAGGAAAGGCTGGCTAGCACTCAACATCTGCTGATTACTAACTATACTGTCAGAGCTAAAGCCGTTTGAAAAAACGGCCTTTTTAAAAAAGGATACGGGTTTACCAAAAAACAAAATATACCAGGCAGTGTGTTCGCAGACAATTAGAAATAGGAGCCAAGCTTTCATCCAGTATCGATTTTTCCAGTAGAAATCTCAGAGGTCCCACAGAGTACTGCTTGGGGGGACAGAATGATGCGGAGGAATTCTCAGGGAAAGGTAAATATTAGGGGGGAAGGGACTGAAGGCCGCCCACTTCCCTCTTCATGCATCCACAGAGAAAGGGTCTCCACGCAGCCTCAGCGCCCACTCCGACATGCGCTTGGCATTGGGGGTTTCCATTGGGAGAAGGCTGTGTCTGTGTAATTTTCGGGGTTTACTGGGACTGTTGGAGAGAATGAAAGGGCAAAAGGGGGAGCTGGAGGAGCCCCCGTCGCCCGAGCTGTCGCAGGCCGGGAAGGGAGCTAATGAGAAACACACTCTTCGGGCAGCTTATTCCCACGTGAATCCAATTACTCCATTTCTATGACTCGCTGCCTTCTGTTTGGAGTTGGGGTGGGTTTTTTTTTTTTTTGTTTTGTTTTACTTTGTTTTCTCTTTCAATTAACAAACAGGCCGTGGCCTGTTTCTTTGCCCCTGAAGGCTGGACAAGAGTGAGAAGTAGCCTTCGCAGCGACCCAGCCCCAGTGATGGGATTCAAGTCAATGGTCCTCGCCCCTCCCGCTTCCATCCCTAGCCCTGGACTTGAGCCTCAGCCCCTGGCTTCGGGCCTTGAAACTCTCTGGGTGAAGTGGGGAAGCGCAGTGGAGGCGGGGGTGGGGGTGGGGTGAGGGGGTGAGAAGGGGGGCAGGTGTACACAGAAAAGGCGTTTCGCGAAGGGCGCGTTCTGGGCCTGGGGCGCGGCCTCTGCGGGCCTCCGGGGCCTGGGAGCCTCGAGATCTGTGGGGCCTGCGGCCTCCGAGCAGATCCAGCTCGCCTCACCTTGTGGCGGCGGGGTTCCCTCGCCCTGGTTTGGGAAGAGCGGCGAGGCCAGCGGAGCTTGGGGCTGGGCCCTGGAAGTCGGGGCCTGGAAGCAGGGCAGTCAGGACACCCTCAGACCCTTCTCCCTGCTACATCCCGGCCCCGCTGGCGAGGACTGGGGTGCCCTGCGCCGCCCCGCGCGCTCCCTGGCCAAGGAGGGCTGTGCGCTCCGTGGGGGCCTGTTCTCTCCCCACGCGCAGGGCCTGGAGCGGTGGCAGCTGTTGGGAAGGCGACTGCGTTGAATTTGACTTTTCAAGGCCGCTCACTGGGCTCCACTCGCCTCTCCTGGGGCCGCGGGGATTATTTACAGGGCGCTCACCAAGCAAACACAACAGTCTAATTTAACCTTTCCAAGTCCTCGTAAATTTTTACAGCTGGGAGCCACGGTGAGCCTGGCGAGGCTGTGGGTCGTCCCCAGCTTCCCCCCAGCCTGCGTGGCTTCTGAAACAATAACTCCTTATGAAATATCATAAATATAGATTTAAATACAGTAGAGCGAGAATGTGATTTGGCTGCCTTTTTATGGCTTCAATTATTGTCTAATTTTATGTGGGGGGCTCCGCTGGCCTCTCTCACGGAGGGGGGGGACCCTCGCCTTCCTGATGGCGTGATTAATTGTGATATAAAGTAGTCCGCTCAGAAGTGCGTGTGTGTGTGTGTGTGTGTGTGTGGTGTGTGGAGTGGGGTGTACAGAGACAAGTCCAGGTTTGATCTTTTAATCTTCGTTGGCCACAATTAAAACAAACCCGATTGTGGAGCTGCGCGATGCCTTTGCATAAAAACATATGGCTTTTGCTATAAAAATTATGACTGCAAAACACCGGGCCATTAATAGCGTGCGGAGTGATTTACGCGTTATTGTTCTGCTCGGCGGGCACGTGACGCGCGCGGCCAATGGGGGCGCGGGCGCCGGCAACTTATTAGGTGACTGTACGTCCCCCCCTGGTGCCACCAAGTTGTTACATGAAATCTGCAGTTCCCTAATTTGCGCGGAGCGGGCGCGGGCATGGCCACCACCGGGGCGCTGGGCAACTACTACGTGGACTCGTTCCTGCTGGGCCCCGAGGCCGCCGACGAGCTGGGCGCGAGCCGCTATGCACCGGGCGCCCTGGGCCAGCACCCCCGGCAGCCCGAGCACCCCGACTTCAGCCCCTGCAGCTTCCAGCCCAAGGCGGCGGTGTTCGGCGCCTCGTGGAGCCCGGTGCACGCGGCGGGCGCGGGCCCGGTGCCGGCCGTCTATCACCCGCACCCCCCCTACGTGCACCCCCAGGCGCCGGTGGCGGCGGCGGCCCCGGACGGCAGGTACATGCGCTCCTGGCTGGAGCCCGCGCCCGGCGCGCTCTCTTTGGCGGGCTTGCCCTCCAGCCGGCCTTATGGCATTAAACCTGAACCGCTGTCGGCCAGAAGGGGTGACTGTCCCACGCTAGACACCCACACTCTGTCCCTGACTGACTATGCTTGTGGTTCTCCTCCAGTTGATAGAGACAAACAGCCTGGCGAAGGCGCCTTCGCGGAAAACAATGCTGAGAGTGAGAACGGCGGAGACAAGCCCCCCATCGACCCCAGTAAGTGCCTCCTCCAGGCAGCCGGGCCGCCGCCTCCACGCTGCCCACCCGGATCTGCCGGCCCGCCAGCTTGCTCTCCGGCCCGCCTTCGCCCGCGCTGGGAGCCTACTGAACGGGGGGGGGGGGGCCGGGAGCCTGGAGTTGCTTTTTGGGACGCCTCGATGCGACTCCCAAGTCCAGAAAGCAGAGACCGGCGGGGCTGGGGGCGGGGAGGCTGCTGCAGCCCCGCGAGGGGGGGCGGGGCGGGGCGCTGCCCGCAGGGCCAGACCCATGGCCTCCTCTTCTTGTCGCCGGGCCCAGGACCAGGCCACTTTGGGCCATTCTTCGAAAGCAGCGCGGCGGAGAGTGTTTTGTGCGGCCGGATCGTCCCCAGACCAGGGGCTGGGCTCGGGGTCCCCTCCTCCATGCGGTCACTCGGTGCCTGAGCCACCAGGGTCCCCGTCCCAGACTCTGTGGCCAGACTGGAGATGCGCTGCCCGGCCCGGGGGCGCCGTGCCCACCCTCCCGGGCTTGCAGGGCGGTCAGATGAACAAGGAGAGCAGAAGGAAAGATGGGGACGGAGAGAGAGGAATTTGGGGAGAGAGAAGTTTGGATCTGGTTACATGAACACAGCAGCGCGGTTTGTTTTCCTCTATGTGGCAAGAAGATCTGCTTGCAGATTTCATCCTTTCCCCCCATAAGAAGAGGGGAGTAGAGAGAGGAGGGGACCGGTGGACAGCCGCAGAGGGGAGGGGAGCTGGAGCTTTTACAGCAGGACAATTGGGAGTGACCGTCCCTGAGTCTGGCTGTGGGGTTTCATTGTGTCCTGGGCTCAACTGCCTTCCCTCATCTATTCAGCGGCGTCCTGCGCTTTGGCCAGAGTCCCCCAGGACGCTCCTGGCCTTCCCCCCTCCCGGCCCCCAGGGGCTTATCCCCCCTCCTAAATCCGATGTCTTTCTCCCCCGCAGATAACCCGGCCGCCAACTGGCTCCATGCGCGCTCCACGCGGAAGAAACGCTGCCCCTACACCAAGCACCAGACGCTGGAACTGGAGAAAGAGTTTCTGTTCAACATGTACCTCACCAGGGACCGCAGGTACGAGGTGGCTCGCTTGCTCAACCTCACCGAGAGGCAGGTCAAGATCTGGTTCCAGAACCGCAGGATGAAAATGAAGAAGATCAACAAGGACCGAGCCAAGGATGAATGATACGACTGGGTTCCTTTGGAAAAGAGAGAAGAGAGAGTTAGAGAGAAAGAGCGCGCGCAAGAACTGCCCATCCCCTTCCCACCTCCCATCCCCGCCCCGCACAATGCAGCTCTAAGCCCCAGGCCTTGTCTCCCGCTTGGCCCTGCCTGGCCGCTCCTCGGCCTGCTTTGAGAGGAGGTATTGTAAGCTTTCCATTTTATCTAAGACCACAAAAAAAGGAGCGTTGGCACTAATGACTGTGTGCGCTGGCTTGTATATATATTAAAAAAAAATAATCTACCTGTTCCTGACTTCCAACAAAAGAAAAGCAACTACCTTTTTTTTATAATGCACAACTGTTGACGGTGGGCTGTATAGTTTTTAGTTCGTGTAGTTAATTTAATTTGCTCTTTGTGCTGGCAGAGCGATCTGCTTGAGATACTTGAACACTGTGTTTTATTGTGGTAATTATGTTTTGTGACTCAAACTTCTGTGCTGGGTGACTACCAGTAGTGATTGTGGAAGCTAGAATTCAGTTTGAACTCAGGTTGTTTATGAGGGGGAAACAGATGCATAGAGTATAGCTCTGTAGTGGAATACGTCTTCTGTATAATTAGGCTGTTAACCTTGGATTGTAAACTAACTATAAGAATTTCCCAGTGGATTAAAGATGTTTTGTTTTGCTTTTTTAATAAATAAATGAAGTGTTCTCCGGGATGCATAGATTCATGTCTCACCACTTTTGAAATTCAGGCATTTTATTTTTATCATGTATAGTCCTACTTGTATATATAATTTGTGTACTGAAGAAAAAAAGTACACAACCAGACAAGTGTGAACATTGTTTTACACCATACAAACAGGAAATTTGGAGCTATACGTATGTGCAGAAGGTTACTACCTATGGTTTATGTTTAGTTTTAATCGGGGGAAATGAATGCTTATTGTAATGGAGTTAATTTTATTGATAATAAATTATACACTATAAACCGCCATTGGGCTACTGTAGCTTTGTATGCTTGAGGAGTCTGGGGTCTCCATCCGGCTGAACATACACTGTATATTTTGCAATTTACCTCAAAGCCTACTGACCAAATTGTTGTGTTGAAATGATATTTAAATTTTTGTCAAATAAAATATATTGATTCTTTTCTATTTTCTGTGGGTCAGATCTTTGTATCATCTTCTGGGGGGCTGGGGATCTGGGTGGGGGTACTTTGGGGGGGGCAGACCAGAGCCCATTTTTCCAGCCCAGACACTCTGAAGCAGCCCAGAGAGGCCTGGGGCCAGGCCTGCCGCCCTGGCTAAGCGCACAGAGAAAGGCTGGGCAGGCCCGCGTGAGCCCCCACTCTCTGTGTGTCCATTGGGGGGGTGGTAGGGGGGGTTCAGAGGAGCTGGGCCAGGGACTTGGGGCATTGCTGGTCACCAGTGATGGGGAGGCCATCCTTTGGGCTTGGTGGCCTCAAGAAATTCTCCAAATGCTTGTGCTTTGTGGCTTGCGGGCCTTTCCCGGTAAGAAACGGGAAGGTGGAGAGGCCAGACCGGGAACTGAGGAGACCCAGAGGAGAAAAACAGGAGCTGGGTGGCTCAGAGTCCTAACGTAACCAGGCGGAGATTTAGGGGTGCGGAGGAGACCACAGTTCGCGAGTCCACTCTCTAAGTCCTGCCCGCAGATACTGGGAGTACTCTGGGCGCTGCACCGCTCACCCCTCCCAACCAAGCGACAAGTTCTGGCGGAGGTAGGGCGAGACAAACCACGAACTCCGAACTCCGAAGTACCATAAAAGAAAATGAGGGCTGTTACCGTTTATGGGGTGTAAAGGGTTGCGGGGAGGGGGGTATGGGAGAACTACTAGGACTTCCTTAGGAGGCCCAGAGCCTTCCAGATGTGACAGGGCGGCCAGAGGCTTCCGCCTCGCTCCCTCTTTTCTCCTGCGACCCCCCACGTCTGTAAAGTTGGCGGTGTTTGGACTCCTTGCGTAAAAAGGGGACCCAGGGAGCTGGTCCTCTGGCCCACTACCCGGACCCCGCCGCAGGCTTGGGACGCCCTCCGTTGTTGCAGACAGAAGGAACTTCAAAGAATGGGCAGTAAGGGTGCGCCATAAAGGCCGGGTCTGCGAACTGTCTGGAATTCGGCCCTTAATGAGTTTACAGCTGTCCAGCCCCAATTAGGATTTTCCACCAAAGCCCTTTCATTTGTTTGCTCTGTCTGCTGCCGATAAAGCGGCTGCGGAAACGGCTCTCTTTTATGGACACTGCCCCTTGGGCCGCATAGGTTCCGGACTCCACGCGGCCCCCAGAGCCTGGGCCCCGCGCCGGCCTTTGCGGTAGGGGGGCGCGCGACCCCGCGGCCAGGGCGGCGGCGACCGAAGTTCAGTGGGCCTGGCTGCAGTGCGGCGCTGCGACCAGCAGATGGCACTGTGGCTCCACGCAAGAGGCGCCGGCGCCGCCATCTCCGGCCGCGGCCCGCCGGGACCTTCCTAAGATGTCGACTTGGTGCCGGCTGGACTGAAATGGGAGCCCCACAGTCGAGAGTCGAGCAGGCGTGGGTCGTCGATATTGTGCATTTCAGGCCGGGAGCCGCGCTGGCCCTCTGCGAGCGCTTGTCCCGTGCGCCCCGCGCCCCGCGGGCCAGCGGCTCCCGGGGCGGCGCGCTCCGAGCGGACGGGTCATGAGACACTTGGGACCCCAGATGACCGGCGGACGCACACGGGGACGAGCGCCCACTACCCGGCACCTGGAGACCGCCCCACACAAGCCGAGGCCATCCATCCCCAAATGGCAGCAGGGCCACCAGCCACGACCACGCGCACAAGCCAGGCTGCTCGGCCTTCTGGACGCGTGACCGTAAAGCCGGCTGTGTAAAGCTGGGCATTCGTGCTGGCTGTCCGAGTCGGCCTGGATGGGGCCAGATCAGTACTTTGCTTATTTTAAAATAAACGTGACATTCCACATAACACGTCTAACACAACCCCACCACGCTCCGGGCTGGGGGCTCACAGCGTGGGAGCCGCCAGTCCTTTCTCTCGCGGCCTCGTCTCTTCGGGTGTGGAGGTACCGAGGCTGCTCAGGCGACCCCGCTCGGGGACTTGTTGGGCGGGTCGCCTGGTCCGTGCCTGGTGCTGGGGGCCCCGGGGCGCGTCGCACGGCTGGTCGGCGGTTCCTGGTGGTTGGGGGTGTGGTCTGTTTGGTGATTTTGTGCTCCGTGCGGCCTGTTTTCTTCCGTACGGTTGCGGGGCTGGCTGGGCCTGCTTCGGAGTGGCTCTGGCCGGTGAGGGTGGCGTTTGTTGCATTTTTTTGGGTGGTACGCGCCCCGGGCGCGCCTGTGTGCTGTTTGCTAGGGTTTTCTTTGGGGGGTTTGTTTTGTACAGGGTGGCGTTTGGTTTTGTCTGACGTCTTTCGTGGTGGCGGTGTGTGCGGTGGCCTTTTTGTGTCTGTGCTCAGTGGTCGGTCTTGCCGAAGGGTGGCTTTTTTGTCTTTGTTTGGTCTCCCCCGTTTTTTCGTGCGTGCGTCTGAGGGGTGTTTTACTTTTTGTTTGGTTTTGGCGGTGGTTGTCTCTGGGGGGCCGCTCTTTTTGTACGGGTCGGTTTCTGTGGGTGTCTGGGGCTGGTGTTGGCGCTGGTTGGTTGCTGTGGTTTCTTTCTACCGATCTTTGTGGCTCTGGTTAGGTGCGTGGCTTGGTCTGTTGCCGATGTGTTGGGGTGGTGCTCTGGGCTTGTCTTTGTGCTTGTGTGGGTGTTTCCGTTCCTTTTCTTTTTTGTCTTTTTTGGATCTGGTTGCTTGCAGCAGGCCTGCGTCTTTTTTGGTTTTCGCTGCGTGCTCTCGTGTTCTCTTTTGCTGGTGGGCTTGTTAGTTTGCGTTTGCCGGTCCCGGCTTCTGGGGAGATTTGCTGTTCGGGTGTCATGGGCCTGCTTGCTGGGCTGGCGGTGGGGGGCTGCTATAGAGATTCTAGTTTTTATTCTTTGTTGGCTTTTGGTACCGGTTTTTTTTTTTATTTTCAGTGCTGCTAGCTTGCTTGGAATTGCTGTTCTTCGATTGGTTTAGGTTCCGGCTCGTCTTGTATGGTTTTCTCCGGGTGTTTGTAGAGAATTCATTTGCTTTTAAGTTTTTTTGTTTTTGTTTTTGGGGCCCGGGTTCTAGTGGCTTTGTGTTTTTGTTTTCTCAGCTCTCTTCTTGTGTTTTTGTCTATGTAAATGGGAAACTTTTTGTTCCTGTACTTGTGGTGGTCAAGCTGCCTCTTGGACGTCTTTGTGCCGGCTTTTCGTTTTGTCTGGGTGTGCTCTATGGCGGGCGTTGTTAGGGGTGCGGGTTTTCATTTTTTTGGCGGCTTTGGTGCTGGTGGTCGTTGCCGGGTTGGCTTTTTCGGGCCCAGAGGGGTTTCGGGTTTTCCTTGGCGTTTTCCTCGGTGTTGTTGCGCCGGCGATGTGGCGGTTCTTGCCCGGGTCGCCTTGCCTTCGTTTGCGTTTTGCGTTGTTCTGAGCCCCGTGCTGCCTTTTCTGGAACGTGTGTTCGTGTCTTTTCCTGTGCCCCTACATCGTTGTGGATTTTGGCTCTTGTTTCGGGGGTTTTGGGCGGCTCCTATGCTGAGTCCTATTGCTGCCGGTGTCTGGGTCTTGCGTTTTTACGGACTGGGTTGTTGGATGTTGTTTTTCCGTTTTGTGTCTTGCCGTCTGTCCTCTCAGGGGGCATTTGTTGGTTTTTCCCCTTTTCTTTGGGGTTCTTTGGTCTGGTGTGTTTCTTTTTATTTTTTTTGTTTTTTTTAGCTTCTTTGGGTTATTTTTTTGGTGTGAGTGCTACTGTTTGGGGTATTTGGGGTAGTTGTGGTTTCCGTTTCTGATGGTGCGGCTGTTATTTTTGGCTTTTGGGTGCTCTGTCTTTCTGGGTCCTTTCTTCTTGTGCTTTTGGCTCTTGCGCGTTGGTTTGTGTACTCTGTTGTAGGTCGTGTGGTCGCCTTGTGTGCTCGTGTGGTGTGTGGTCCGCGTTTCCCCATCTTGCTTCGGACCTCTGCGCTTTGTGCGGTTGTCGCATCCCAGGGGTGTGGCTTGGTTTCTGGGGAGGCGGTTGGAGTTTGGGGTTGTTTTGGTCCGCGGTCTTCTGTGGGTGTCTTTGTCATCTCTTTTTCTATTTGTGGCCTTTCTTTGTTGTTTCTCTGGTTCTTTGCGGGGCTGTTGGTTTGTGGGGTAGGTTTTGTGGTTTGTTTTCGGGCTGGGCGGTAGTAGGCATCCTGACCGGGCGTCTGTGGTCGGGGGTTGGCTTGGTTTGGTCTGTTTTGGCGGTGTTTTGGTGTGGTGTTCAGCGTGAGGGGCCTTTCCTTGTCTTGGATGTCCGGTGTCCTGGTGTTTCTGCGGGGTGTTGTCGGCTGGATGGTCTGATTGTTGGGCGGTAGGCCCGTGGAGCTGGGGGGCTTGTTGGGGTTGTTTTTCCTGTGCCTTGCTCTATGTGTTGTTTGGGCCTCTGCGGGGTGAGGTGTGCGGGGTGGGTCTTCCGTCGGGGCCCTCCCGTTTTGCTTTTCGTGTTTTTCACCTCCCCTCCGGGGTCTCTGCTTTCTGTTTTTCTGTTTTGCTTTGCTTCGAGGTGGTGTGGTTGGGGAGGAGCTGGCTCGGGCCTGGGGTGGCCTGGGTGGCTTCCTGTGGTGCGTTTCGTGTCCTGGGTGCTGGTGGCTGGGCTGGTGGGGGGGGCGTGTCGGGTCCGTCCGGGTGTGGGCGGTGGTCGCTGTGCGGGCGGGGGGTGGGGGGGGGTTTGTTGGGGGGTGTTTGTCGGTTTGGTGCCTCGGTGGCCGCGGTCCGCGGGGCGGGGTGTCGGGCGCTCGGTGCCGTTGGGGGGCGTCGCGTTTGCTGGTTTTGTTTGCTGCTGTGGCTTTTTGCTTTCTGCCTTTTTGACTGCTTCCTGTTGGGTGGCTACTACTGGTTCTCGGCTTATGTGCTGGTAGCCGGGCAATGTTGGTTTTGTTTGGGGGTGCTGGCTTGAGTTGGTTTTTTGTTTCTCGCCGTTTCTGGGGGTGGCTGTGTAGTGTCCCGGACTTCTTGTTGGGGGCGCTTTCGCTCTCCCTGGGCGTGTGTGGGGGGGTTAGGGGCTTTCCTGGTTCGTAGGGGGGGTCGTTGCTTGTGGGGCCGCCGTGGGGGTGGGCTTGTTTCTCTCACCGATCTGCTTGGGTCTTGGCGTGGGGCGGGGGTTCCTGGGGGTACGGGGGCTTTTGTTTGTGTTCTGTTCCGTCCGTGTGTTGTGGCTCGGGGTCGGGGGGTGGGGGGGCGCGGGGTGGCTGGGCGTCTGTGTCGTTTCCTGGGGGCCCGCGGTAGGCCTCCTGGTGTCTCCGCGTGGGGGGCGGGGGGGTGGCTGCCGGCGGCTCCGGGGGTCAGTCGTTTGGGCCTGTTTCCCTTTGGTTGTAGGGGCTGCAGGCCTGCGGGGGTGAGGCCTTTTGCTGGCGGCCGCGCTTGGTGGGGGCGTTGATGTGGGGTGTCACGTGGTGCGGCGAGCTCGGTCGGAAGGAGCATGGGGTTTGGTGTAGGTGTGGGGGTTTTCTGTTGTCCTGTATCACGCTAGTTGGTTTGACTTTTTCTGGGAGCTGGCGGACAACGACTCACAGGTCAAAGTTCTTGGTTCTTCGTATTGTGTGAAGGCGCTTTTTGGCGAGTATTGGGCGGGGGCTTGTGTCTTTGTAATTTGCGAGCTTACTTGTTGGTGGTTTGTGCCCCTTTTTCTGTGAGGTGGTTACGGGCCGTGCGCTGGCGCGTTCGGGTGGTCGGTGGCGGGCTTGTAGGCTGTCAGGAGTGCCCTCTCCCGGTGCCTCTTCGCTTGCGGCTCTGTGCTGGGGGTCGCCGTCTGCGGGGGCCTGTGTTTGCCTTCCTGCGACCCTCATTTTCCCTGGCTCTGCGGTGTCTTTGTGCCCTGCGGCTGCTCCAATGGGGAGGGGGGCGCTTTTGGCGTCTTGGCGTGTGTCCCTTTCGGCTTGTAGGGCTGGATGCGGTGCTTAGGTTTTTTCTTTTTTTTTGTTGCCTGTGTGTGCTGTCGTCGGTGCGCTCGTGCGTTTTTGGCTCGTAGCGCGGGGGCGTCTGCTTCTGGGTGCTGTTTTGCGGCTCTTGGTGGCTCTTCCTTTTTGGTTTTGGTTTGGGTCGCGGCGCCATTGCGTTTTTGACCGGTGGCTTTGTATGTTCCTGTGTCTCGTGAGCCTTTTTTTGTCCGAATTCCTTGTTTTTGTCTTTGTTTCTTTATTTATCTCTATTTGCCTTGGATTTTGTTTTTTTTTTTTGTTGGTTGGTCTTCTTCCCTTTTCTCCCGCGTTTTCTTTTTTTTGTTTTTCTCTTCCACTTCTTTTTTGTCTGTCTTTTGTTTTCTGTTAGTTGGGGGACGCATGTCCTTTTTTTGGGCTTTGGCGGCGGTTTGCGGGGGGTGGTGGTTTTTGAGTTCTCGCGGCGTGTGCTGCGTTGTTGGGTGGTTGGGCGTGGGATTCGCCTCGCGGTGGCTCGCTTGTGTCTCCTTGCGCGGTGGTGAGGTGTCTCGTCTTTGCATGGCCACAGCCCCGTGTCTCCCCCTTGCCCCCCCTCTTTTTTTGCACTTTGGTTTTGTCAGTGGATAGCGTGCCTTTTTTTCTTTTTTTTGTACTGGTTTTGTTGGTTGTGAGGTTTTTCTTCTGTGTTTCCATCGTATCTTTTTTTGTTTTCGGTGTAGCATCTCTGTTTTGTTCTTTCGGGATCTTTTCCCCTCCTTTCTCCTTTTTTTGTTGGGTTTCGTGGGAGAGGGTGTTGTGGGTTGCGGGGGGGTCTGGGTGCAGGTGCGGGGTGTGGAGGGCCTGGCTGTCTCTTTGTCTGTCTTCTTGGTGCTTTGTTTGTCGGTGTGTGTGTGTTTGTGTCCGTAGGTGTTTTTTCCGGGCGCGACGGGCGGCGGGGCCGCCAGACCTACACGCGCTACCAGACGCTGGAGCTGGAGAAGGAGTTCCACTTCAACCGCTACCTGACCCGGCGCCGCCGCATCGAGATCGCC